GCTGCCACAGCCCCTGAGCATTTTCATGACCCTTCTCTGGACTCATTCTAACAGATCCGTGTCTTTCTTACTCTGGGGGCCCCAGAGCTGTATGCAGCCCTGCAAGTGGGGTCTCACCAGAGCAGAGCAGAGGGGCAGAATCCCCTCCCTCGACCTGCTGGCCACGCTGCTCTGGATGCAGCCCAGGATGCCATTGGCTTTGTGGGCTGCAAGCGCACGTTGCTGGGTCATGTTCAGTTTTTCAACCACCAGCACCCCCAAGTCCTTCTCCTCAGGGCTGCTCTCTTAATCCAATTGTTGTCCAGCCTGTATCTGTGCTTGGGATTGTCCCAACCCAAGTGCAGGACCTTGCACTTGGCCTTGTTAAATTTTGTAAGGCCCACCTCTCCAGCCTGTCCACGTCCCTCTGGATGGCCTCCCTTCCCACCAGTATGTTGACCTCAGCACACAGCTTGGTCTTGTGGCAAACTTGCTGAGGGTGCTCTCAATGCCACTGTCCATGTCACTGACAAAGATATTAAATAGCTCCGGTCCCAATACTGAACCCTTAGTTTTAACCTGTAACATTTTTCTTAAAGAATCTCCACCAATGAACACAAACTTTGTTGCTGTGTCCTGTGCCACTTCTGTGTTTTCAGTGTTCAGATAGAGTTTATTGTTATAATACAGTTAAATCCGTATTTCTAATTATTATATTCGACAGAATCTTCCTCTATTGTTACTACTAGCTTCACTCTAGGGCTGCTGAAAGACCCAGGCTGTTGGATGAAATGTTCTTCTGTACAAATAGTGCCTGCACCAAAGGAGAAAGTGAAAAGCATTTTTATTCATGCGAGTAAAATGGCTCCTCTAGCATTATGCAGTTACAGTCCAGAGATTAATTTTGCATGTCCCTTCTCACCACTACCAGGAAGAGAATTTAGATTACAAACTAGAGGTAGCAAACTATGCTCAAGTGCAGCTGTTAGGTCTGAGCAGATAATGCCAGCTAGTGAACAGCAACACTGGCTGCTGTATCTCATCTGTCTGTGTGCCAAATCTGAGCTCATAGTTCTTTGCTATGCCCAAAAGAAAAGAACAGAGGGTGCCCATCTGCAGTTCTCTTTCAGTTGTTTAATGTAAGGCATGTTTTAGTTCTCCTAGGTTATCTTTAGTTAACTTAGCTTGGTTATCTTTTGTGCAGTTTTTGATTTTCCTGTTGCAGATCCTGGAAATCATATACCTAAAAGTAAAATTTTACTTCAGTGTTCTTATATCTAGCAAGAACTGTGCAAATGTTGATCTCTTCACTTCAAATTATTTCTTGTCCACTATCCTATTTTTTTCATTTATTACACTATATTTTTTAAATTCTGTCTATCTTTCCATTTACAAATTCCTCTGTATATTCAGTTTAATAAAGTTCTTTCTTTGCAGACCAGCTTAGCTGCCTTTACAAAAGTTCTCACTCTACCTGGCAGGACTCAGTAGACCAGCTGATTTCCAGAAATAAATCACGCATCAGACTGGGTGGTGTGCTATTATTCCTTAGAGCAATGCCAGGTCTCTCATACAAATTATGAATCAGCTTTCTGATTCTTCTTCCACAAGCCAGACACTGCAAGTGTAAACCCTCCTACAAGTGTCTATGCTAGACAAAGAATCTCCCTTGTTTACAAAGCTTGCAGAAAAATTACCTGCCTGGAAACTGGGGTAATGATATAGATGTAGTTTGTTTATGTTAGAGGATGAAATAAAAAAAAATACTTTTTTTTTTCCCCCCAAAAAAGAGAGTTTTATCGTTACATTGCTGCAGCAAGCAGCTATAAGCATTATAGTTTGACAAGCAAGTAACTGAAGGGACACCCAGTTAGCAGTGAATGGTTGCGTGCTTGTGAGTTATGAGAGTTGTAAGGGATATGGGAGCAGATCTTTGGATTCTCTTGGGAAGAATCCAAGAGTGGCTTCATCTTCCAGCTGGAGGACTCCTGACTCAATAGGCTGATCTTTCAGATATTCATGATCTTGGTGTTTGGCTCCATTGTTTGTTCAGTTAAATAAATTCTCTGTCTCTACAGACAGGCTGGCGCTCAGTGTTTTCCAAGACCACAAAGATCATGCCTGGACTGCCAGTGTGGGCAAACAGTACTTCATGCACTGCAAAGGCTGTGTTGGTATTTAGCTATTGGGCTGTGCTGACAGAGCACAGGACCTGATCCCCCTGAGTGCACACAGAGCAGTCACCCTGAGGAACACACTGAAGTCCCTGTCCTTTTATCAAACCACCATTTTCTTTCCACAGATGGAAAGAAGAAGAGAGGTTGAACTGGGGGGCTTGGGACATGGGTGCACAGGTCTTCCTGCAGCCCAGAAACAAGCACAGCTGGATTATACACCAAGGAGCCTAGATCTGGAGCCCTTGGGAGTATTCCTGAGGTCCACGGTCATCCCAAAAGGGATGCTAAAATGTGTCTTTTGGAAAAGCTGTTTTGTTCTGTACTTCATGTAATATCTTACCTGGTGTAAGGAAAATGCTAACTGCTTGAAGTCCCTATTCCACTGAACTCACCAAGAGTTTCCTTTGGGCTCCAGGAAAAAAAGATTGAAATTGTCCCAGAAAGACATTGGTGACCATAAGAAAGAAGTAAAATGTGATTCCAGCAGAGAAAGACACATCAGGGCCCGTTTTGGTCCCATGCCATTTCTTTCCATCGTGAAATGGTGAGAGAGAGCAGAAAGCCATGCCAGTGGCTTGCCTAACAGGCTTCATCAGTGACCAGAGTGGGAGCTGAGACAGCGTCACTGGCAGAAACACCCAGGCCCTGCCTGCCACCAGCACCTCCAGTGATCACGCCAAAACTCCCTGTCACCCAGAATGTCCACCAGGACAGCAGAGGCCATGACTACCCTGACCCATGTCAAATGGGTCAAATCATGTCAAAACCATGAGGGAATCGCATGTCACCTTCATGACAGCAGGATACAGGATACTGATTTTATCAGTGAATGCATATGCAGAGTACGATGTGCCCCTGAAGAAGTTTCTGTAAGAGCTCAATACACCCAGATGCGTCGGTATTAATCTGTGCTAATGTTAACAAGTTCAGAGGAGAGTTTTACTAATACAAATCTGCCCAACTTGTCTAGTGCTAATACATTCAAGCAATTTAATTCCAGTGTACTCTTGGTTTATTTACAAAAATATCTCTTCTATCTACTCCTTGCCTATGCTGTCATTAGCGTAGTGTTTCACAGCCACAGCAGACCGTTTGTAGATTGCTCTAAGAAACAGCCCACAGATCACCAAAAGTGAAGAACATAGCCTTCTCTACATTTGAATCACATAACAAATGTTCTCTAACTTCTCAGACTGAGAAAACTATTTCTCTTGACCTCTGTGCTGAGTAGTTTTGGCTGAGCCCCATCAAGGTCCCCGCTGTTACCTCCTCAGCATTACTATCCAGTTAGCCCTTAATAAAGACAGGTAATTAATCAAGACAAAAAATAAAAGGCACCAATACTTCCTGTCCTTAAATAAAAAAGCTGGATGAAGTGGTGATAGATCCTTTTTAGTTCAGTCCTCTCCCCTGCCCAGGGGACAGCTGAAAGCTTAAAAGTTAGGCTTTGCAGTAAGCAGCAGTATAGTGAATACCTTCTTTTACATTGTAGCCCTAATCTTCAAATCAACATTTACATGTTTTTTGTGGGAACAATCACAGAAAAGCAAGACTAAAAAAAGACACCAAAATATCACGTAAACTGTGCCCTGTCAAAGGGTAGGATCAGCCATGCTTAATACGACTGCACTAGCACTTCTGACCATCAACCCTTTCATCTGAGTCCGTCAAAATGGTTTGAGACAATCTCTGGCTATGTTCAGTTAGTACCTATTGGTGGTGCTTCTTGCGTCCTAGTAGAAAGCCAAGGAAGATGCAATACAGTATAAAAGGCATTTTAAAAAGA